ACTCTTTCCTAGCGTATGAGTACTTGGAAAAAGGCAGTCTAGCAAAAGCGCTGGCAAACGAGGAAGAAGCCAAGAGACTTGGTTGGAAAAGGAGGGTTAATATAGTGAAGGGTGTGGCTCACGCGCTCTCTTACATGCACCACGACCGATCCCCACCGATTGTACATCGTGACATCACCAGTGGCAATGTCTTATTGGACGAGGAGTACGGGGCTAAGGTGTCGGATTTTGGTACCGCAAAACTGCTCAAGATAGACTCTTCGAACTGGTCTGCCATTGTGGGTACGTACGGCTACATGGCTCCAGGTACAAAACGAACATATACCCAAATTATTAATTTAAGAAAAGATTTAGAAAAAAACATCAAAATATCTATTTTTATAACTTAGTCTTTGTTTCTGTCTTTGGTTTATTTCTATAGAACTTGCTTACACGATGAGAGTGACGGAGAAATGCGATGTGTATAGTTTCGGAGTTCTAGCGCTCGAAGTGTTGAGAGGCTCTCATCCGGGAGACGCGGTTTCTCCGTCTCCTTCTTCGCTAGCCAAAGAGAATGTCGAATTGGGTGATATACTGGACAAACGCTTGCCATTTCCATGGCGGATCGAAGAGCAGATCCGAAGGATTGCGGGAATCGCATTTCAGTGTCTTCATCCCGATCCTCTGTCTCGACCGACCATGCTTTGGATCTCCAACGTTCTGTCGTAGGGGGCCGATGAATTATAATATTTGGTACGTAATTCGTTCTTGATAATATTACTCATGCCAAAACCAGATTTTGTAACGCATCAAACAGTCTGCAAGGTATCACGTTCATGGTCAAGACAAGATTTGCCCATTTGAGCTGAATATATAATATAAATATGCATACATATACATTACCAAAAAAAAATGCATACATATATATTCATATACGTACAGATTTATGAAGCTCGTCATTATTTTTTCATTATAGTTTGCTCTCTCGTTCTTCTTGTAATCCGACTTATGTTGTCTTTTTCTGACAGAATAAGTCGTCTCCCACGGCAGAACATTGGAGATCAATGGTCCGGGTCCATATGTGTTCCCGTTAGTTTGGTTGAATTGTCTATTAAAAAAAAATACTAAGTTCATTCGGAATATGGGGAGCTTTGGAACGAACCAGAAGGTTCATACTGGAGTCAAAACGCACGCATACAACATTAAGGATGTTTTGGTCATTTGTACATCTGTCAAAAATGAATGAAGGAGATCTTCCGAATAATATTTTTTGTAATTTTAATGCCAATTACGTATATATATATTTTTTAATCAAGGACAGTTGGCTCATTACTCGACCTACACCGCTACACGCATCCAATATTTACTTACCATAATAATCTTGTAATTAGCATGTAATTACCTCTATTACACTGCGTTTCGATACGCCGTCGTTTTCACAAGGCGCTTTACCAATACAGAAGCATGGATACGTCGTCGTTTCAACTTTGACTGGTCGAATAAGCTCTTTTGACTTATTCCCAAAATTTTAGCAGAGAGAGAAAAAAAAAAAGACCCCTCTCTGCGATTTACTGACTACTACTGCTTTCCCTCTCCAGAGCAGAGAGAAAAGTCGGAGAACGAAGCGAAGAACCGCGAGTGACAGATACAACAATCGTGTCGCTTCCCGTCGGAGTCCAGACGATCTAGGGTTGTATCTCTCTCTCCATCGTGTTTGGCGGTCGGGTAGTGTAGATGGCAACTCCAGGGTCGGAGCGATTCGCGGTCACGCCGAGCACAGCGAGGGGATTGTCAATTACACCTGGGTCTAGGGTTTTGAAGGGCTCGCTCAGCGACGAATCTCTGTGGAAACGACTCAGAGAGGCTGGATTCGACGAAGAATCGATCAAGAAGAGGGACAAAGCGGCTCTCATCGCGTACATCGCGAAGCTCGAATCCGAGGTTTGCTTTGCTTCTCCATTTTCTGTGGAAGTATTTTTTTTGTTATCTGGGTCGGTTTTTTATTTAGCCGAGTTCTGAATTACTGATGCTTTTTTGTTTACTAGAAGAACCCGACTGTTAGGGTCGGGAAAAGGGTGGTGACTAGAGTAATCAATACGTGGAAACACAACTTGTAATAAGGGGTCGAAGAAATCTGAGAGTTTGGTTCTTTAGTTGAGGTGAATGTGGTACTCCTCCTGGGGGATATAGTGGATCAGACATCTTCTTAGTGGAATGCCCTTAATTGTTTCAGTAATTGGTGGTAAATATGTAGCCATTTTGCTGGTAAACCTTTTGTTTTCATTCAGTGGAAGGTTGAAATTCTTTGGATGGTAACTAATTTGTTCCCTAAAAGTAGAAAAGTTTGGGAATTTGGTTCTTTAGCTGAGGTGAATGGTGAATGTAATTCTCCTCCGGGGAGAGGTAATGGATAAGAGATGGCTTCCGGGAATGCCCTTAAATTTTCAGTTGTTGGTGGTGAAATCTGTTGCCTTTTTTTGGTAATTGGTAAACTTTTTGTTTTCATTCAGTAGTTCTTGAAAGTCGGGGTGTAGTTCTGACATTTTGGTGGATGCCTCTCGGCTTTTAGCCTTTTGGAAGAATTGCTTTCCTTCTGAGAATCTTGTTTTGATCTTATTTCCTCTTTTGTGCTTCTTGACTAAAAAGGTTACATGGGTTAATTTTCCGCGATGTTTGTCTTGTCAATATCTGGTTCTTATGAGTCTTAAGATGGATCATATTTGGTTGATCAAACTGGATGTAGGTGTATGACTACCAACACAACATGGGCCTTCTTCTGTTGGAGAAAAAGGAGCTGATATCAAAGTATGAGGAGATTAAGGCCTCTGTGGAGGTGGCAGAACTATCACACAAGCGTGATCAGTCTGCATATGCCTCCGCTTTGGCTGAAGCAAGAAAACGAGAAGAGAGTTTGAAGAAGGATTCAGGGATTGCAAAAGAATGTATTGCTAGTGTAAGATTATCATATATTTCAAAGCAAAGATAAATAGTCTTTCCTTTCCCTATGTCTGAATATCGATATTTCTAATTTTTTCAGTTGGAGAAGACTTTGCATGAGATGCGTGCAGAATGTGCTGAGACAAAAGTTGCTGCTGCGAATAAATTGTCTGAAGCTCAAATCATGATCGAAGATGCTCAGAAGAAATATGCTGAAGCTGAAACGAACATGCGTGCAGCAGAATCATTACAAATGGAGGCTACCCGCTATCACCGAATCGCAGATAGAAAGCTGAAGGAAGTTGAAGGTCGTGAAGATGATCTTGCTAGACGACTTGCATCGTTGAAGTCTGAGTATGTCTCATTTCATTCTCACACTGTCACTTTTTCTTTTATGTGCTTAGCAGAATTTGTCCTGTCAGTATTTTGACGCAAAATAATCGGAACACATGTTTAATGGTCCTTCAATGGTTCTTTGTTTTCATTCTTTAGGTCTGAAGCTAAGGAGAAAGAGATGATTCTGGAGAGACAAACCTTAAGTGAAAGGCAAAAGAGTTTGCAGCACGAGCATGAGAGGTTATTGGAAGCACAAGCTTCGCTGAATGAAAGAGAAGATCACATATTTGGTAGATCAAAAGAGTTAGCTCGACTCGAAAAGGATTTAGAGTCTGCAAGAGCCAAGCTTGAGGAGGAAAACAGAGCCTTGGAAGAGAGAAAGTCGGATTTGGAGCTTGCTGTGGCTTCCATTAAAAAAAGAGAAGAGGTGTTTATAAACATTAATATTTGCTGTTTTTGTTTGTTGTTTGATGCTTTCAGCAATCAGAAATATCTATGGCAGATAAGTTTTTGCTGTTGCATGAGATTTTTCTGTCTTTTCACTGGGGTAAACTAGGTTATCTTGGAGAGGGAAGCTTCACTACAGAAGAAGGAGCAAGAGCTGCTTGTTTCCCAAGAAAAAATTGCAAGCAAGGAATCCGTGAGTTATTTATCGATTTGTATTTTCCCTGCCTGTTTAACCCATAAAGCATATCTCGTAGGTATCCCTAATTAGTTTTTCTTATTGTTCACATTACTTCTGTATTTGTGGATTCTTATAGTAGACTTCATTGAACCAAAATTAGGTTTGTTTGTGAGAGCTAATGAAAAGTCTTTCGAACCTTGATGCAGGAACTAGTTCAGAAGGTTTTAGCCAATCAAGAAACTATTCTGAGGAAGAGAAGATCTGAAGTTGAAGCAGAACTGGAAAGTAAGCGCAAATTGGTGGAAGATGAAATTGAGAGCAAGAGACGGACTTGGGAATTAAGGGAGGTTGATATCAGTCAGCGGGAAGACCTAGTTAGTGAAAAAGAACATGACTTGAAAGTTCAATCGAGGGTCCTGACAGAGAAAGAAAAGGATGTAACAGAGAGGTCTAATATGCTTGACGAGAAAGAAAAGAAATTGAATGCTACAGAGAAAGAGATCAACCTTAAGGCAGCTCTTCTGGAAAAAGAGAAGCAAGAGATTAACAAATTGAAGCTAGATCTTCAGCAGTCCTTTTTATCATTAGAAGACAAGCAAAGACAAGTTGATTTTGCAACAGAGAAACTTGAAGCCTTGAAGAGTGAAACAAGCAAATTAACACTTCTGGAGATGAAACTCAAGGAAGAGCTGGATGCTTTGAGGGGTCAAAAGGTTGAACTGATGGCTGAAGCTGATAGACTGAAGGTGGAGAAAGCTAAGTTTGAAGTAGAGTGGGAGCACATTGATGTGAAAAGGGAAGAGTTAAGAAAAGAAGCAGAGCATATTGGTCGTGAAAGGGATGCTTTCTCTAGGTATCTGAAGGACGAGCGTGATAATCTCAGAGAAGAGAGGGATGCATTGAGAAATCAGCACAAACATGATGTGGAGTTGCTGAATCGTGAGCGTGAAGAATTCATGAACAAGATGGTGCATGAACATTCCGAGTGGCTTAGCAAGATTCAGAGTGAGCATGCTAACTTGATGTCGGGTATTGAGATGCAGAAGAGGGAATTGGAATACTGTATTGAAAAGAAACAAGAAGAATTGGAGAATAACTTGAGGGAGAGAGAGAAGGCTTTCGAACAGGAGAAGAAGATGGAACTCGAACATATCCAGTCTCGCAAGGAAATGGCAGAAAAAGAATTGGAACAGGTAACTGTGGAACTAAGGAGATTGGATGCTGAGAGGTTGGAGATTAAACTGGACCGTGAACGGAGGGAGAGAGAATGGGCTGAGTTAAAGGATTCAGTTGAGGAATTACAGCTTCAACGAGAAAAGCTAGAGAAGCAAAGGGAACTACTTCATGCTGAAAGAGAAGAAATCCTGCATGAGGCTGAAGAACTCAAAAAGTTGGAAAATCTGAAAGTCGCCTTAGACGATATGTCCATGGCTAAGATGCAGATCTCTAATCTAGAGCGTAGCTGGGCTAAAGTTTCTGCTTTGAAGAAGAAGATCGTCTCTCGGGATGACGAACCAGATTTACATAATGGAATTGGAACTGCACGTAATGGTGATGGTTATAACTCTTCTATGCAAAGACAGAACGACTCATCTCCTTCAGCCTCTACTCCATTTTCATGGATAAAACGATTCCATGAACTGATATCGAAGAATCCTGCGGAAAAATCTTCCACACACCAAGAAGGAAGACGCTTATCATCAGAAAGGTTGAAGTTAGATTCATCAGAAAGAGACGGCGAGAATGGAAAGCCAGATAAGGTTAGCAGAAAGGAACCAGCTGAGGCTGGTGAAAGACTTCAAGGTGGAAGGAAAAGAAGAGTTGATAGCTCATCTGGTAAAGGCACAACTGACCCATCTGTAATGCAGTATGGGAACGGTAACAAGAAGAAGAAACAAGATGGCATCCCCAGGTCAGCGGTACAAGTTGACACCCAGAGGTATATTGTATGATGTGAATTATTTTTAGTCTTACGTTTTATCTTGTAATAGCCACCTTGCACGTTCCGTTGCTTTAGGAGTGTCAACTTCTTTTTCTCCTCAAGTTGAACCTTTTAACCTTTTTTTTTCTCAGTTTAATACCCAATCCCCAAAATATGCCTGTGGACAAACACGAACTGCCATCATCAAGCCAAACCCGGACAGGTTCTGGGGAGAGTGGTGTGGTAGTGATCAGTGAAGTAGTGAAGATCACAAAAGCGAGTTATGAAGTGGTGGGACTTGGCACTGACAGCATTCAAGATCCTGATAATATGGGCTGCTTAGCAAATCCTGTGGCAGATTCCAATGCTACGGATCACATTGACGGAACTTGTGAGTTTGCTTCTGAAGCAGAAAGAAAGATTGGGGAAGAGACACACCAAAGTGGTCAAGATGATGATCTCAATCAGGTAGATTTCACCATAAATGACAAACACAGGATAGGTCATGTCTTTCAGTAGCTTTTTCCACAATCTCCATACTAGTATGTTTTAAATCATTATATTACACTGCAATGCTGTGCCCTTTTTCTTCTACTTTACATTCTTGAGACGGTAAATCTGAAGCAGGGACATGATGTGACAACATCTGCTAACGGGAAGGCGAAGAAGGCAGAAGGTGATAACTCCATGACATGAGATGGAAGTAGTTGTGTCCTGTCTCCATGGTAGGTGGCCATTGCAAGGAGACTTGGATGTTCTCATAGCTTTACTTCATTCATCAACAGAACATGGTTATAAGGTACCTTCTTGCCCTCCTGAAAACTCACACTGGCCTCTAAAACCCCGAAAGTTTCTGGTGAATGATGTTCTAATGACTGGTTTTTTGTTTCTTCTTGCAGAAAAAACCCTGACCCTTCACTTTTTTTTCTCTTAAATTTCAATCCTGGGCTTGTATTGTAAATGCTGAGATATATGATTGGTTAACTCTGGTTTCTCTGTTGTGATGCATAGAGTGGCTGCAGATTCCTGAATGAGTGGAATGATGGAGTAGTTAGGTAAGGATCCGAGATTGTGCATTATCAAAAGTGTGTTTTGCTTTCTGTTCATGTTTCGTGTGGTTCACCACATTGGCTTGTTTTTATCATTCTTTTTATTCTCTGGTTCCATTGATGTGTTGCTCACTTGCTTGCATATTGGCATATTGTGAGTGCGTGGTTTTCTACTTGTTAGGAAATATCCTTCCCTTGTGCTCGTTGGCTCTTACCAACGGTACTTTTTTGTCATTGCGGAAAAAATGTTTCCCATGGTTGTTTTTTTTTAAAAAAATTTTATTCTTTTCTAATGGTCATTTTCAGTTATACAAAACCAAACCACATAATATTTAGTTATATTAGAATCGATATGCGATTTTTTTTAAATTGATAAAATCAAATCGAGTTTATTAACATATTGAAAATTTCCTTAAAATAATTTTTTATTAATATAATATAAAAAATGAATAAAAGTATTTTTAAAATAAAAAAGTCAGAAAAAATAATCGTATTGAATTCTTTTCAAGTCATTAATGACCAATTAAAATCCATTTAGAACACATAAATAATTACTATTTTCCGAAAGTATGAAATTATTATTTTTTGGTTGAATAAAAGTATGAAATTATTGCGGCTATGAAATCCAAAACTGAACTCGGAAAAAACCCCAAATATATAACCTAGTAAATATATACATATATATATATATATTCCATTTTATATACAAATGATTTTTTTAAATATTTTTCGCTTTTCTGCAAATGTGTAATCTCGAGTAATGAAAATGAATTCCTCGAAAAAAAAGAGGGACAGGTTGATGGACCGGGCCATATCGAAAAAGCCCATGTCGGATCGAAGACAAGAACCATGAGACTTGAAAGAACATATACTTTTGCCTCAAAAAAAGTCAAGAAAGCCTAACTCTGGAAACCCAGTTTCTCTCAGGACGAGAACCTACACACTTCGATCTCTTCTCTCTCTCTCTCTCGCGCGCCTCTGTCGGATTTTCTTGCGCTTCTCTCTCTCGTTCACCCAACTTATCTCTCCGCTTGCTCCAAAGCTTATTGGTAATGGAATCTATTACGATGGGATGAACAGAAACCAGTTTTCTCCATATCTATCGATACAAAACCAGGTCCGTATTCTGTAATATATCGACATCAATGCCTGAAACGACCTCCGCATAATTGGGGATTTTTTACCTTCTTTGTGTTGTGTACGCTTTTGATGGAATATCATTTTGCTGCAACTGGCCCCTCTTGCGTCTTGAAATGATTTCCTGTGAATATTTTTCACTTTTCTGTCGGAAATTTGGTTGTCCCCTGCGAAGTGTATGTACTTTTCGCCAATTTGGGAGGAAAATTCAGAACTTTCTTTCTTTCTGGGTTTTTGAAGTTTGGTGCAAAATTTCCCTGTTTCGGTCTCTGTGGTTTATGTTTACATTAACAATGGGTAAAGTTCGGAGTTGTTTAAGAAATAGGTTCTGTTATTTAGCCGATTTGGTGAACAGATTTGCTTGCATGTTTCAGTCTCGTGCTTTTAATTTTTTAATGCAATTGTTATTAAATTAAGGAGGCGTGTTTCTGCAGTGATCTTGTATTTCAACAAAGGAACCTACAATGTATACAAGGGCAATAAAAAGGAATCAGAGATGGGGTTTGGTATTGCAGGAATCCAAATACCTAATTAGGCCGAAAGTTCGTGACTTTACTTGTTCCCGGTCCTATGGTCCTGCAAATATGTTAATGCATCATTCAACTCATGTTAGTTTGGCAAGAAAGTACCTCCCACATTCATTTTCTTTCCGCAGTATTGCCTCTGGAAACTGTTTAAGTTTGTTTGGGAATAGCCAGTTGCGTAGGTTTAGTTCTGAAGGTGATGGAAGCAATGCTAGTGAGAATAACCATATGCCTCTGAATAATGGTGATAAGTTAGACGAAGGAAAAACCCAGAAGGGAAAAAGTAGTTTTGTTGTTGGTCATTCTGATTCTCATGCTCAACTTGGCGAACAAGACCAGATTGATTGGCTTAACAATGAGAAACTTGCCACCGAGTTCAAAAAGAAGGAGTCACCTTTCCTTACTCGACGAGAAAGGTTCAAAAACGAGTTCCTTCGGAGAATCCAACCTTGGGAAAGAATTCATCTCTCCTGGGACACCTTCCCTTATTACATCCAGTAAGAACTGAAATTTTTTTATTTCCTGTCATCTTGTTTTTCTTTGTCCTAGACACATCCATTTTGCTGAAAATTTTGTTCAAACTCGTTTTTCGCAGCGAGTACACAAAAAAACTTTTGGTGGAATGTGCAGCTTCACATATAAGACAAAAAAGTGCAACTTCCACATATGGCGGCCGTTTAGCTTCTTCAAGTGGAAGGATACTGCTCCAGAGTGTCCCAGGTTTATTGTTGACTAGAAATGGCATTGCGGTGCTTGATGCTTCTATTCTTTGATCTTAAAAGTATAATTGGAAACGAAACATAGCATTTTGGTTGGCCAGCTATAATTTGGTGATGTCTATCCAGGAACCGAGCTTTACCGAGAGAGGCTAGTGCGTGCACTTGCTCAAGATTTACAGGTGCCCCTGTTGGTTCTTGACAGCAGCGCTCTTGCTCCTTATGTGAGATTCTTATCACTAATTTACTATAACATGGCTCAGTTTTTCTTTTCGTTGATGGGGTATGGATTTAACGTTTGTCTATTTTGGGTCAGGATTTTGCCGATGACTGCAATGAAGAATCAGAATCAGATGAAGAGAATGCAGAATCTGATGAGTGCACTTCAGAGTCAGAGGCTGAGGAAGAGAATGACGCTAATAATGAAGAGTGGACAAGCAGCAATGAGGCAAAAACAGATGGCAGCGATATTGATGAAGCTGATGTTGAGGCAACTGCCGAGGAAGCCCTCAAGAAGCTTGTGCCAAATTTAGAGGAGTTTGAAAAGGTATGATTTTCGTCAAGTGAGATTCAGTGCATCTGGTCAATGCAGATTCATAGGATGATAGTTTATCTTTTCTTTTGTCATACCCTATGGAAAACGTGAATCTCTCTGACCTTTTTGTATTGAAGTGGTTATGAAAGTTTTGAAATGATCAAGTATATAATGAGACTTGTCGACCAATCTAACTGGCTAACATTTGTCTAACTAATAATAAGCTTCTTTAGCTGGGAAATAAGTGAGGTCAGAAATGATAACAAAAATACCTAGATGAAGTTTTTGTTTCCTTTATAAAACATTGACGAAGCTTCTCTGTAGAGGTGCTCTGCTGAGGGTTTATTTTGAAATTGGAGATAATTAATTTCTTACTTATTCTCCGTGATTTCTCATATAATGCTCATTTTATGCCTTGTATTTCTGTGTGAAATTAATTTAGTCTGACATGGTTGTCCATGCAAGTGACAAAGTTTCCCTTTCTTTTTTTGTTTCCTGGAAGGTAAAAAAGGTTCCATCATGGATGTCGTATGTGTTCTGTATTTTTTTTTCTTGTCCAAATGATGTCTATTGCGTGATTCACTTGTTGAGTTTGGTAAATGTTGTATATCATTTTCTTCGTTGCTGAATCTTGTCAGAGGGTGTCTGAAGAATTACAAGGCTCCTGTGAGGAGTCAAACACTGCGACTATTGAGCAATCTGATAAAACCAAACGCCCACTCAAGAAAGGTAACTATCTTATGGCAAGTTTATTTTGCAGTTTGCTCAAAGAATTCTTGTTTAGTTGAATAGCCTAAGGACAACTCTGTATCATTATCCATGCTTATAATTCATCTCCATCCTGGTAGAAGCATTAGATGTATTTGAAATTACCTATTTACTTAATAAGCGTGATTTAGTTCTATTTTCTTGTCTGATCATTTTTTTTTCTTTGTTTCTCTCTAATTTTGCTCTTAATTGTTTCCTTTATCATTTGTCACGATGCTGATCTGGAATGTATTATTTGCAGGAGATCGAGTAAGATATGTTGGGCCTTCCGTAAAGGGCGAAGCAAAGCGTAGGTAACTATCTTCTCTGCACTTGTGCTCTTAAGATTTAAATTTTTTGCATCAATTTTAAGATATTGGTTTTACTTTGATTGGATATGACCGTGAAATGTGTTAATTAGTTAGTTTGAAGCTTTATTTGATTCTAGCAATTTGACTTAAATATGGATAAATAATATGAGCTCACTCCATTCAAGCTAGCAAGTTTTAGCGTTTGTAAGATACTGGAGGAAACAGTGTGATTTGTCTTATATTTTACATTGTTGCATTTGTGATTTTGCTTCCCTAGTGCTTTGCACCCATCTCTGGGATGTTATTTCACAGATATTTTCTTTTTGCTTGTCATGTACCTTTTAATGTATAATTAAATGTTTAAATCTTAGATTTGTTTGGTGCTTTGCTTGTAGATTTCTAACTTGTTCTTGTTTAACTTAGGGTAGAGAGAAGTTTTTAAGTAACTGATGTTTATAGATTTGGTTCACTTGGCAATTAGCTTTTCTGAGTAACTATTATGTGTTATACTTAGTTTGCAATTCTTGATTTCTTCTCTTTAACAATGAGCAAAGGTCGAGTTTGCCCCCCTTGTTTTGTCAATGAAGAGATAAAAGTAGCAGTTGTTCATCTCGTTTCTTATTGTCTCCTATTTTCACATTCCATTGTTGTATTAGTATTTGTTTCATAATTTTTTACTACGCAATTTGAATGGAAGATAATCTATTTTTGTCTTCCAAAAATCTGTGGCTATATATTTGCATTGTCAAGTTCGTTGTGTGCATGTTGTGGTATTGAAATCGGATTGGGACAAGTAGAGTAATTTTGGCCGTTTTAATCTTCTGATCTATTCCCGTTTCGCTGGATATATATACTTAATGTTGGTTTCTGAATGTCAGTGCTTGTTTGTTAATCATTTGTTTAAATCTGTGTCCATATTCTGGAAGATATGTAATTCTTTTGGCAACTCCAAAATGTGCCCAACTTTAGGAAATTGGGCTGTGAAAGCCGTCATTCTGTAAATCTTGGATATTATAACAAGTGACTGATTTGATTTATGTTAGGGAAACCCCCAAACTCAAGCTCATCAACTGGTAGTTTGATTCACCTTACATTATGTTGGCTTGTAAATGGATCACAGGGTCATTTTGGGGAAGATTCCTACATCTGATGGTCAAAAGTGTGCTTTTACAGTTATTCCTAACAGGTGGGTTGGTAAGTCGTACTGTAAACGTGGGACACACATGTCAAATCTCTTGTGATTTTTAGGGTAGTCTTTCACTTCCATGGTTCCTTCTTTCTTCTTCTGTCTACCTTTTGAGGGGTTGGAGATCTTCCTCGGCTCTATTTCTTTTTCTTCTGCCAAGTGTGGCTATCCACAGTGTGAACTGGATGTAGGGTTGATGTTTCCTTTTCCCTCTGGGAACCCCTTAAGTCTTCAGTTTCCGTGTTTCTCTTGGCAGCCGATCAGAGATGTAGCTCTTTCTTTCTAAGACTCTTGCAATGCTCGAGTCTTGAGCACGTAAGAGTTTCCCTGTTCATAATTTTGGTTTCGTATGTTGGTTTTCCATCTGTGATGCTATGCTTTTTTCATTGATTATTTTTATTGTTATGTAAGTAAACCTAGGTTATTTGGTGTAAGCTTGTGGTTAAGAAGAACATCAACAATTGGTAGTGGAACTTCTTATGCATTATGAATAAGGTGTTCTGAATTGTCACTTTCTATTTTTAAGCGCTTAAATATGTTCAAAGATTCATTGTTCTGATAATATTTCATGAACCTATTACTGCTTGCTCCGCTCAATAGTGGCTATAGTTTTCTATTCAGCTGCCCATCAACTACGGTGATTATAGCCATTTGGTTGGTTTTATGTGTTTGAAAATGATTGTAGAGCTTTTGAGTTGTATAATTCAGGTCAATGGTTGGATATGAATCAAACTGCTGTTACAGTATTATTTATCTGATTTGTTCATTCAGTTTCTCATCTGCATTATGACTTTTGTTTCGAATGTCCTTTCCTAGTGGTGCAATGTCATTTTCTGAGCTTAAGAGTTGTCTTAGGAACTGAAAATGATAGTGATCTTTGCTAGAGGTACATGTCATTATGATCTTGCATTCACTAAGGTGATTGTTAGAGTTTAATATCATCACTAAATGCCTACGTTGATGATAGTTATGATGATGCTGATGATATATTCATTTTCTTTTTGCATTTACTGTTTTTGCAGTGTATTTTGCACTAAAAAAGCTATATTTATAAATCCCCTAGCTATTCCAAAGATAGTTATGTTCTTGTGTTATATATAGAAGAAGGGTTACCGGATACTATATATTTTGGTCGTCAGCCAAAATGTTTATGTACTTGCAGGATACTCTCTAGTGGACAACATGGAAGCGTATTAGAGGTGAGTGGAAACAGTGTAGCTGTCATTTTTGAAGATAGTGGTGAAGCACCATCAGAGGGAAGTGAGGAGAAACCCACAGAGGAGTCTCAGGCGCCACCTTGTTACTGGATAGATGGTATGTCTTTATTGTAATTATGTCTCAACATTCTATCGGGCTGATTGATCCTTATAAATTTTGAGTCATTGCTCTATTAAAGATGCTTGACAGCATATTTAATGTAAGCTAACTGATATATTTTCTGTGCAGCTAAAGACCTGAAGCATGATTTGGATCTGCAAGCTGAAGATGGTTACATTGCCATGGAGGCTTTATTTGAGGTATATTTTGATGTTACATAATCTTTCTTGTTTTATTGTAGTTACATGTTAGTTTCAGCCATAGATATACATGTACACACCCCACATCTAAATCTCAAATTCTCCTGGTTCGGAACAGATGATACTTGACAGTAGCATGTGTTCAATTTGGAACTGCAAATTACTTTTTAACTTTGAAACTTATGTATGGGCGTTTCAATTCCTGCTTTGTTCTTGGGCTATTCCCAAGGGTTAATTTAACATTTTTCTGTTAACAAGGGTTCTTATTCTTTTGGCTTCAAAAGTTCATCACTGTGTGTAATAAAAATCTGCAGTTGAGTTCATGCAATCCACGCAACCATTATAAACATGTACTGATTTTTCTTCTGAATCTACTTAATCTCCTCCTTTGTAGGTTTTGCAATCCACACAACCACTTATTGTCTATTTTCCAGACTCGTCCCAGTGGTTGTCTAGAGCTGTACCTAAGTCAAAACGGAAGGAATTTGTAGGTAAAGTTCAGGAAATATTTGATAAAGTATCAGGCCCTGTAGTTATGATTTGTGGGCAGAACAAGGTTGAGACAGGCTCAAAAGAGAGGGAGAAATTTGTAAGCTTGTCGCTCTGTTTACCATTTCTTCCCAATGCTTTCTATGATAAGTGGATAAATTTTGAGTTTTTTCGTTGTTTTTCATTGTGAACAGACTATGATACTCCCAAACTTTAGCCGCCTTGCGAAGCTGGTAATTTTCAATAAACATCGAACTAGCAAGTTTAAAATATATTCATTGACTGTTGATAGCTTGTTTTGTTATAGTGGTTAAATTTTGACCTGAGTAAGATTCTTCTAACATCTTTTGATGTGATCAAGTATTAAAGGCTTGACTAGTTCTTTAACCTTGCTGAACCTGTAGAATCCTGACAGTAAATCAGTCACACTTCAGCGATTTTGCTTGCATTTAGCTTCACATGTTGAAGATTATGAATAATGAATTTGACATTTTTTCTTCTCCTTTTTTTATGTTATAACTGTTAGAATATTCTGGTCTGCATTTAATAAATATGTCCCCCTGCATTGTCACATTCTATGTTCTGACAGTTTATTAAAAAAAAATTCCTTAACGCATTTGTGTGCTACAGCCTCTTCCTTTGAAGCGACTCACTGAGGGACTCACGGGACGGAAGAGATCAGAGGATAATGAGATATACAAGCTCTTCACTAATGTTTTGCGCTTACAACCTCCTAAGGTAAACCTAACGTGTAATGAAACTTTATCCATGATGATCATGGATTCGTGAGATTGTTGTTATGTGGACTTAGAAAACAGGTGTGGTGGTATAGATGCATAGTGCAAGTCATTCTTTGAGGCACAATAACATTTGGAGATATATCTCTCTGACAACTGTAATGGCAGATAACAAGGGAAAATGTTTAACCTTGGTTCCTCACAATAATCCTCTTAGATTGTGGACAAAGTAGAAAATAAGTAGGCTATTTGTCAGGTTTTCCTGTTCTACATTCTTGTTAGGTTTCCATGTATTAGAGACTACATTCTCCGAACAACTCCAAGTAGGAATAGTACAAAATTTTCTGAGTAGAAATGGTTCGAAATATAGAAATCTATGGTTCCAGTGGAAGATTTTTCGTATATTCCCATTTGTCTACTACGGGTACGGTTGCTATGTCTCCTTCTTGCAAAGCTTCATTGTCATGTAAGAACCTGTCCATCTGTCCTAAGTAAAAGTCATTTCCAGTAGTTTCATCAAAGAGACATTGTAAAAGCCAGGAGACCCAATATGACTTACAAACTCTTTACATGTACCACAGATCACAATAATCCTTTTTATTCAATCTGGGTATATATCAGTCGTGTCTTGCTGCTATTTACTCCTTGAGATATCTGCTTATTTTGCTTTTCATCACGTTACTTGATGCTTTGTTTTGTGCAGGAAGAAGATACCCTCAGAGTATTCAATAAACAAGTAGAAGAAGATAGGAGGATAGTGATATCTCGGAGCAATTTAAACGAGTTGAGAAAGGTACATAGATCTTGTTAAGATTTCATTGGTGGAAAGGGAGTCGAAATTTTGGAGACTTTAATTCATCTTTATAACACTGCATGAACAATTTCCCAGGTTCTTGAGGAGCATGAGTTATTGTGCACTGACTTATACCAAGTGAACACCGACGGCGTGATATTGACAAAGCAAAGTGCGTAACTCCCGTGAAAATGCTTTGTTCTGTGGATTTCTTTTTTCAGTTATGATCTATGGATATCGAACAAGTTGTCCATTTATGATTCTAACTTGTAGTCTGTCACACACATGCACATAACACACATGGGCAGACACATTGAGCTGGCCGTGCTAACAAATACAGGCTATGTTGGCTCATTGAAAACAATGCTATACAGTTTCACATTGTGGCTTTTATTTATTTGCAGAAGCTGAGAAATTTGTCGGCTGGGCCAAAAACCATTATTTATCTGCTTGTCCAAATCCAATTGTTAAAGGAGGGCGCTTGTATCTTCCCCATCAAAGGTATTTGTATTGTTTGTAACTTTCTGTGGCGATTTTGGATTTGTTATCTTACTGTTGTTTTCCTCTTGTGAAGCCTGGAAATTGCAATTTTGAGGTTAAGGGAGCAAGAAATTTTTTCTCAGAAACCCTCGCAGAGCTTGAAGGTTTGGCTTCCCTCTGGTTTTCTGTTAAAATAGATGTCGGCAGCTTTATAGCGTGATGTTTAACAGATAATTTCTTGTAGAATCTTGCCAAGGGTGAGTATGAGGGTAACTTTGTGTCAGCTGTGGTAAGCCCTGGAGAAATTGGTGTCAAATTTGACGACATTGGAGCGCTTGAAGATGTTAAAAAGGCATTGAATGAGCTGGTCATTCTTCCCATGAGAAGGCCAGAGCTTTTCTCCCATGGGAATCTCTTACGAGTACTGAAATCTGTTTGATATATATAGTTCTTTTTTCTTAAGTAAATATATATATATATATGTATACTCTTTCGGTGTGCTCGTTTCCCTGATGGCATGTGTTTTCTTCCAGCCTTGCAAAGGCATATTGCTTTTTGGTCCTCCCGGTACTGGTAAAACACTCCTTGCAAAGGCGCTCGCTACAGAAGCTGGTGCAAACTTCATTAGCATAACTGGCTCAACCCTTACGTCAAAGGTACACAGAAATCATTAGTTTTCTGAAGTTATACAGCTTGGTTGTGTTACTATATACGACAATTCGCTCCACTGAATAAACATTCGAAACCAGACAATAAATTATGTTTGTATTTCAAGCACTTTTTCTGTAGTTTTTCCCTCCGTTGGGATCCTAGTTTGGTGTTTATTTCTAGTATTTAAATGTACATATGTTTCAGTGAACTAGAGAGAGTGTTTGCTTAATCTTTCCACACTCTACGTTTGATGCAGTGGTTTGGAGATGCAGAAAAACTTACTAAGGCTCTGTTCTCCTTTGCCAGCAAGCTAGCACCTGTCATTATATTTGTTGATGAGGTGAGAATTTCATGTAAAACTTTTCTTGTGCCATAGTTTTCAAGGCACATTGTGGTTTATAAATATCATTTTTTTTTTCTTTGCCTCTAGTAGGAATATGTTCTAATTGTAAAAGGTGCTTTTTAAGGACTGACAATAAATTGTTTCTCTGGCAGATTGACAGTCTTTTGGGTGCTCGTGGTGGTGCTTTTGAGCACGAGGCAACTCGAAGAATGAGAAACGAGTTCATGGCAGCTTGGGATGGTCTGAGAACAAAAGACAGCCAAAGAATCCTCATTCTTGGTGCTACAAACAGGCCCTTTGATCTTGATGATGCTGTCATTCGCCGTCTACCAAGACGGTATAACCTGCGTTTGAGATTCACTTGTCTCAGTCTGTATTAGTGTGAGCAGCCCTCTCATGGAACGTTTCATGGTGCTTCTGTTTTTAGGATATACGTTGACTTACCGGATGCAGACAACCGGTTGAAGATCCTGAAAATATTTCTTGCACAAGAAAATCTGGAAGGCGATTTCCAGTTCCACAAACTTGCACAGGAAACTGAAGGATATTCAGGCAGTGATCTGAAGGTTGGTCATTCGGGTTTGGATCTGCAAGTGTTGAGCTTCTGGTACATGAAAAGTTATTTTCATGATTTTTCTCCATTTTTGCGTTGCAGAATCTTTGCATTGCTGCAGCATACAGGCCTGTCCAGGAACTGTTGCAGGAAGAAAACAAGGTACGGGTTCCAGATTGCGCATGATTAGCTTCTTAATATTGTTCTATTGTGTGTTAAGATGTCCTCATCTCTAGGCCGTGTCTCCTCAGGGTGCGAGAGATGAGGCAAGTCCATTGCTACGGCCGCTGATGTTGGATGACTTCATTCAGTCTAAAGCCAAGGTATTGTATCATACAGTTCCCTTGTCTACTTCATACTCTTATCCGACAGCACTTGGTCTGAACAGATTAGATGTTTCTGGAACTAAATAGCAGTTTAGTGGTTTGTCTAAAGATCATGTGACGGATTTCTATATATGTTTCATCTCCCGGGAATTAAAAAGTTGAAAGAGAAAACGAATCGATTGATTCTTCAAGTTTGTATTTTTGTTTGCTCCCTCTTAGCTGATTGGAAAAAAAAAAGCATTACTTCCTTGAAACCCAAGTTTTGCATATAAGTTGCAAAAGGGTGAACAAGATTTATATAGGTTGTGCAGTAATCACGTAGAACAAGGGTTCATGAGATAAACCCTAAACCCCATATCCCATGAGATGAATGGCTCAATACAGATTGATCATATGATGCCATTGAAAATTTGCAGGTGAGTCCGTCTGTGGCGTACGACGCAACGACGATGAACGAGCTGAGGAAATGGAACGAGCAATACGGGGAAGGAGGGAGCCGGAGAAAGTCCCCTTTCGGCTTCTGATGATGCTAACCTCTGAATCACAGTTAGGAATCAGAACGAAGAGCCGAGTTTTGAGTAGGTCAAGCTTTTTTCAAGATGTGGGTTTAGGGTTTTTCTCAAAGAGGCAGTGACTCTGGTTTCAGAAGAACCTCCAAAGGAAAATGCCAAATCCAAATGTACCAATTTATATCTCAGTCAAATAATTCTTTTTTACCTCTTTTCCCTGTAATTGGTTTAACTGTTTGGTTTACTGCATCAGATATTACAAACTCTTAAACAGTTTTTCCATCTAAGAAAAAAAAATCCAAACATGAAAATACCATATATAATATTCTCTTATGTCAAAATTTTAAATTTTTTTCTTCCTAAGTGTGGGATGAATAAAGGCTTCACATGCTTATTAATTATTATGGGCAGAGTGGAAAATTCCAATGTTTATAAGCTTTGGCACCCCTACTATTGTAACTTATTTAATAGAATTAAATTCAATTAATTATTTGAAATTAGTTTTTCCAATTATACTCAATTGACACAATTGAAGACGTGCACAAATCAAATCTTTAGAATTTTTTTTTTCATTCTCAAATAAATTAATTAAAAAAAGGACCAAGAGATAAGAGCCATTATGCTTTTTGTCCACGACTCTTTCAATTTTTCTAAGGAAAAAACTATTAGGGATTTTAATCCCAAAAAAAAAAAACTAAAACCTGGTTTTAGATAACCTCTAAATGGTGGCGCGGACACTACGTGACAATCGTTGTTATGTTTTGTGTAAAAAAGAGAAAGGATAATTGATGAATACATAAAAAAAATAGAAATTTAGTTTTGCCATAGTACAATTAGTTGGCAACCCTATTGTATTCCTTATTTTATAATATTTTTATTTATGATTCATTACAAAATTATAACAATAAATTTTTTCGACTTGATCATCGGATAAAACGTTTTTATAAGAATATAAATTCGTATTGATTTTTTTTAGTAAACTAAGGATCCACCATAAATTATAGAGGATTATATTTTTACTAGTGATTGATAATATATCCTCAAATTCAAATAAGGTCTTATTTACACAATTGATACAAACTATTGTTTATAATATATATGAATATTTGGATCTACGTAGAGATTAGATGAATAATATTCAAATTAAATAAATAGATTTTCTCTTTACTTTAATTTATTTTTGGATTTACAAAAATATAATCCTTAGAATTTCTGTTCTAGTTATTGGAAAAATCCAATCCTAATTGGATAAGGATTGAAGACCATAATTCTAGGAATCATAGTTGGACAAAGTAACAATATACTTTGATTTATAAAATTTTAATTTAATTAAATTATTCAATAAATACTCAACTTTCGAAATATCAATTTATAAAGACTACATGATTCTATTATTTCAACACAAGTTTTTTTATGTTAACACATATATAAGAAGACCAATACTATAATGATTACCCAACCCTTAATTTTGTAAAGGCTATAATTTATTCAAAGAGTGGAAATGTGAAGCTTATAAAATTCAATTTCCCCTATACAATTTGAGAGGACGGTCAAATATTCTAAAAATAATAATAAATTGAATACATACTATACGTAAAGATATTCCCCTTTCGTCGAAATAGATACAGATGTCCTTTTTTTTTTTTTTTTGTCCTATATATAGGCACGTGAGGAGCCGCTCCTAAAGCACGTGATCTTCCTCTGTTCTCCGTTCAGAGAAGCGCCGAACTCCTCTCTGGTTCCGTCCGTAGGGCAAATCCATGGCTCCTGCTGTTCACCCTCCATCTTCACCTGCACTCCCAAGGTATTTCTGTGGGAGAAAATGCAAAACATGCAAAAACTCGTATTTGATATTAATGGGTCTCATTTGTTTCTGGGTTTTTTTTTTGGTTGCATGACATTGTCGTTTAATCTCTCGTTTTACATCAACCAAAATGTCATCTTTGTTCCTGTTTTCCATTTTTTTGAGTTTAATATTGGAATTTTAAAGGGGTTTTGTATTTTTCCATGATTAAAACAGCGATTCGGATGAGAGATACGCAAATGTGAAATGGGAAGAGCTTGGATTTGCTCTGACTCCTACGGATTATATGTACGTGGCGAAATGCCAAAAGGGAGAGAGCTTTTCAGAGGGCAAAATCGTTCCTTATGGGAACATTGACATAAGCCCTTGTTCGGCAATTCTGAATTATGGACAGGTACTTGTGATTTATTGTCCCTTTTGGACCAAAGGGTCTCCCTAGTTTTGATCTTTAACAAAGCAAGTTTTCTTGTTTGGTAGTGCATAGAAATTCTCATGTTCGAGTGCTTGTGGAACGACCAGAACCTGCGAAAGTGTTAAATCTCATAGATAAAAGCCATTTCTTTGGAGGGTTTCTGCTAGTTTCCCTGTTTTAGTACTGAACCGATCAAAAGAACATGGGTTATACGCAATAAAATGGAGACTTGAGGAGGATATTGTACGTGTAAAACCCTTCCATACTGAGGAAAAAGTCCTAGGCAAAATAAACCATGGATGCTTTGTGTCAATGTGTCATATCCACAGGTTCTATTCCCTTTTTTTATTGAGTAGTGCACAAGAAATCTAAGCCTCTATGATATTATTATGAAAAGCTGCTTTATATTGTTTCAACTCCTAGTGTATGGTGCTGGTTGTGTTTTAGGGGTTATTTGAAGGGCTAAAGGCTTATAGGACAGAAGATGGACGGATAATGCTCTTCCGCCCTGACCAAAATGCTCTCCGTA